ACCCTAGCAACATGGGAGTAAAGGAGGCCGTGGTGCACTCCATATAAGCCACCCTCCTCCTCCCGAGTAAGGGTTAAGCATTCTCTATAATCATACCCCCAAAGAAAACAAGCCTCAAGGCACGAGACGTAGGGTTGTTACCTCCTCTGAGAGGGGTCTGAACTCGTAAAACCCCAGGTGTTACACCTGAGTCGTAGCTAGGCTCTGCCTCTCTCTCGTACCCCTAGTACTCATTGTTAGGATCATAACCCCGACAATTGGCACCCGTTGTGGGGCTAGGTTGAACGACTTGTTCTCATGTTGGGCCTTGAATGCTTCCAAAGCTTGGAATGCCTACAAAGCATTCCAACAATGGGTGAGGTTGAACGGCTTGTTCTCATGTTGGGCCTTGAATGCTTCCAAAGCTTGGAATGCCTACAAATGAATCGCATGCAAGCACATGGGCAAATGGACATGCAAGCATAATGGAAATGAAGATGGACGACATGTCTACCATATCTTTGATGTCAAGGCCATTTGCCCATCGAGGGACGTCCCGTGAGTGGACCGTCTCATCATTCGTGGCCGGCATTCTGTCGAACAAGTTGCGGGCATCGGGGTGCATGTCGGCTAGGATCTCGTGTGGGTGTTTCCTGTGGCCCTCGGTGGCGTTGAGGTCGATGGCCATGGGCGGGGGCGTGGTCGGCGCCACAATGCTCACCTCCAGCGAGCATTCCCTAGAGAAAATGGGAGGCTTGCGTGGTAGGGATGAAAGCCGGGCATCGGCGGCGTGGTAGACGTGCGCAACGACTCTAGCAGTGGAACACGAGGAAAGGCTGACATGCCCATGTTGGTCGCGGCCACAGTGGTGGTGATGAGCCCATGCTAGCCTGGGTTTAACACTAAGTAGAGCATGGCCTTCCTTGTTGCCGCAACGAGGAGGGCCTTGTTTTCCTCCTGTTGTGCGGTGGTGGCCAGGCGGGCGGCGGACGCCGCTTTGAGCTTGTCAGCCTTCACGTACTTCCGGTCCCTTCCTCTTGACCGACTGTTGTAGGATCTTGAAGTATGTCTAGAGGGGGGGGTGTGATTAGACTACTTGACCAATTAAAAACTTAACCTTTTCCCAATTTTAGTCTTTGACATATTTTAGCTATCCTAGCACAAGTCAAGCAATCTTCACACAATTCAAGCAAGCATGCAAAGAGTATATGAGCAGCGGAAAGTAAAGCATGCAACTTGCAAGAATGTAAAGGGAAGGGTTTGGAGAATTCAAACGCAATTTGGAGACACGGTGATTTTTGAGCTGTGGTTCCGATAGGTGGTGCTATCGTACATCAACAATGGAGACTTCAACCCACGAAGGGTAACGGTTGCGCGAGTCCATGGAGGGCTCCACCCACGAAGGATCCACGAAGAAGTAACCTTGTCTATCCCACCATGGCCGTCACCCACGAAGGACTTGCCTCACTGGTGGTAGATCTTCACGAAGTAGGCGATCTCCTTGCCCTTACAAACTCCTTGGTTCAACTCCCCAATCTTGTCGGAGGCTCCCAAGTGATACCTAGCCAATCTAGGAGACACCACTCTCCAAGAAGTAACAAATGGTGTGTTGATGATGAACTCCTTGCTCTTGTGCTTCAAATGATAGTCTCCCCAACACTCAACTCTCTCACATAGGATTTGGATCTGGTGGAAAGAAGATTTGAGTGGAAAGCAACTTGGGGAAGGCTAGAGATCAAGATTCATATAGTAGGAATGGAATATCTTGGCCTCAACACATGAATAGGTGGTTCTCTCTCAGAAATGGTAAGTTGGAAGTGTAGGTTTGTTCTGATGGCTCTCTCCACTAATGAAGAGGAGGTGGAGGGGTATATATAGCCTCCACACAAATTCTAACCGTTACACACAATTTACCAATCTCGGTGGGACCGAATCAACAAACTTGGTCAGACCGATTTAGTAAACCTAGTGACCGTTAGTGATTTTGGTGGGACCGACATGCAACTCGGTAGGACCGATGTGGTTAGGGTTAGGGCATAACATAATCTCGGTGAGACCGATTATAGAAACTCGGTGAGACCGATTTTGGTAATAAGCTAACCAGAGAGTTGGTCAGGTAAACTCGGTGGGACCGATTCGCTCTTTTCGGTGGGGCCGAAATGTTACGAAAGGGAAACAGAGAGTTTACATTGCAATATCGGTGGGACCGATCGCTCACTTCGGTTAGACCGAAACGTTACAAATGGAAACAGAGAGATTACAATCCCATCTCGATGAGATCGAGATCCCTATCGGTGAGACCGATTTTCCTAGGGTTTGTGGCAGTGGTTATGACATCTGAACTCAGTGGCGCCGGATAGAAAGAATCGGTGGGGCCGAGTTTGACTTTAGGTTTAGGCCATATGTGGATATGAGAAAGTAGTTGAGGGTTTTTGGAGCATATCACTAAGCACTTGAAGCAAGAAACTCATCAAGCAACACCTCATCCCTCCTTGATAGTATTGACTTTTCCTATAGACTCAATGTGATCTTGGATCACTAAAATATAAAATGTAGAGTCTTGAGCTTTTGAGCTTGAGCCAATCCTTTTGTCCTTAGTATTTTGAGGGATCCACTTTCCTCATCCATGCCATGCCATTCATTGAGCTTTCCTGAAATATTTATCTTGGAATGATGTTAGCTCAATGAGCTATATGTTGTTAGGAATTACCAAAACCACCTAGGGATAGTTGCACTTTCAACTGCACAACCCGCTGTTCGTCCGTTAACGACTTCTTCTTCTTCTACGCCGGTGTCTTGCGGGCGACACGGGGCTTGCCTTTAGTGGAGGCGAGGAAGGCGACCGACGACAGCGTTGAGGGTGCATGGGTCGTCCATGGCGAGCGTGCGGGAGCGCGAGCGAGTGGTAGTTTTTTTGGGAAAGAGAGGGAAATAGGGGTGGCTATGCCGCCAACTGGTGGGCCATGGAAGGACTAGACGAGCATCGCACAAATCCGTTTCGTGTCCGCGCCGGCGCAAACGAGGCCCAAATTTGGGCATGAAATAGGTCGCACAGCGGACGAAAAACAGACAAGAGTTTGCTTGGAGAGCAACTAATTAACGAGCGTTCCTTCTGGAGCCTCGCAACTACCAGCGCCACTTGGCGCGCTTTAAGCCATTCGCCACGTGTCACGCTCTGGACGCTCCCTCCGGATTTTTTTATTTTTCCGCACGCGTTTTCGGCTTCTTAATGGTTTTCCCTGTTTTTTTCGACGTTTTGGTTTTCCACCGGTCTTCCTTAGCTTTTCGATCAAATTTCTTTTTGTGCAAGCGTTTTTTTTTCACGAGAGTCACGGTTTTGCTTCCGCGAGAGGCACGATTTTGCTTTAGCGTGAGTCACGCCCATGCCCCTCGGAAAAAAAAACACATTTTCTGTCTTTTTTTTTTCGCGAGTCACGGTTTTGCTTCCGCGAGAGGCACAGTTATGCTTTCGCGAGAGTCGCGGCCATGCCTCTCGGAAACAAAAAAAAACACATTTTCTGTTTTTCTTTTCTTTCGTGAGAGACATGGTTTTGCTTCCGCGAGAGGCATGGTTGTGCTTTCGAGAAAGTCACGGCCGTGCCTCTCGAAAACGAAAAAACGCGTTTTCCGTTTTTTTCTTTCGCGAGAGTCACGATTTTGCTTCCGCGAGAGGCATAGTTGTGCTTTCGCGAGAGTCACGGTCGTGCCTCCTCGGAAATGAAAAAACCCACATTTTCTCCTTTTTTTTCCTTCCGCGGGAGTCACGGTTTTGCTCCCGTGAGAGGCACGGTTGTGATTTCGTGAGAGACACGGGCGTGCCTATTTCGGAAAGAGGAAAACCCTGTGCTCTCGGTTCGGTTTTTTCGTCCGTTTTTTTGGTAAAAAAGATCGTCAAAACATATCAACATGGGATCTAGTTTTAAAGATCTCGACGCGAGGAATTCAACGGTGAAAGCGGTTTGAAATTTGGACGCATGATTTAAGAGATAAAACGTTTTAAATAAACAGATCTTGAATAAACAGATCTAGAAAAAAAAGGAAAACTCCCCGGTTACGACAAGTGGCGCATATGCAACGCGTCACTTGTCGTAACCTGAGGAGGTTAGAGTGATCTTCGCAACGAGTACTCCTCAACTAATGATTTCGGTTTTCCTTAAAAAAAACACTAGTGATTTCGGTTTGTTTGGGTCGGCGTGTTAGGCCGATTTTCTATCCGTTTCGACCCAAACAAACACGTACGGACAAAATGTATCGGCGGTTGGAGTTGCTCTAGACTGAGTGTATTTACCTCTGTTAAATTACTTGGCTATGTACCGTGTGGCCCCGACTCCCAGTCACCAATCACCACGCTGGCATGTCCTTGATCTGTTAACTGGATGTTAATCGGACGGTGCAGGTGGCTTTGATTCTGAACCTGCCGTTCCTCTCAGGTCCCAGGCTCCTTCCCTCTCTTGGCCGACCCCCGAGCCGCCGGACCCCGCTGTTCGCCGGCGGCTGTAGTGAAGTCCCCGAGCTTCCTCCCAGCGAAGCGGCGCCACTTCCACTGTTCCAAGCTTGGAGTGGAACATTCAGGAGATCCATCCAAGCCGATTCCTTCTGCTGGTACGAAAATATTTCTCTCGATTGTTCTAGGAGTGTTTTGTTTGTTGCTGCGAGCAATCACAATACCCTCATAACCTCATTACTCCTCCAAGATACGCAAACCCATCCAGTTATCTGTGGATTCGGCTCGGTTTGTTGCAATAGCAGCTTGTTCCCCAGTATTTCGAGGGTTCGAATGAGTTAGGGTTTAGGTTACTCGCACGCGATTCTTCTCGACCTCGTGGTTTGCGCCTGCTGTTGATAGGTCACATGCGCGTAAATTTGTGTGTACTAGTGCTGTGTCTACCTGTGCTCGCTGGGATCTGGGAATCAAGAGTGACTGCAGTGATTAAGATCGCATATAGGGTGGTAGAAACATTTATGCGTGCTCAGATTCTGATGTTCTGGTGATGATTGTATGACAGTGTCCAGAACTACAGATGAGTTCGAAGAAAGTTCCGTTCAACCGTCATAAGGAGAACGAGGAGGCGAGGAAGAAGGTCAGGCAGGGGTTCAAGTCCCTTTTAACTTATTCTGAGACACGCCCATCTTTTTCTACATGTAAATTTCGTTCATATCTGATTTTGGTATGCTATAAGAGGGAGGAAGATGAAGCGGCACGCGTCTATGCGGAGTTTGTTGAGTCATTCAAGGGTGAAAGCACATCTGGATCAAAGTTTGTCCGTGGGGGCGTGATTGATCCCAATGCCAAGCTGAGAGCTGATTCTGAAGGTTAGTGATAGTGGTTTCATTTTACTATACTTCGTCATAGTTGCCTTTGCACCTTGCAGTTTCAGTATCAATCATGATGGATATATGCACTATTTCTTTTATTGCTCCAATTAATCAAGAGGCCGCCATTTTTACTCATTCGGCAATGACAGGTGGAAAGTCCAACGATGGGTGGTCTGTTCCAAAGAAGGGCAGTAGGTAAACGGCAAAAAATACTTGATTTCTAGAAGATTGTATCCTGTGGCAGCACAGCTACATCTTTAGAAGTCATGTGCCAGTATGATCAGAACTGAGAATTTTGAGACCAAGCATGAGCAATTTTTACACGCTTGATGTGATATTATACCTTACAATTATGATTCATGAATTATTCGTTCATATACCTTTTATTGCCAAGTGCTTGATGCATTTGAAATAGTGGTCGGAAGAAGAAAACTGTCTTGCACAACCACATCCTCATTTCATGACTCGTATTGCACTCCCACATCCTCAGTTGCATTTATGCTGTTGTGCTAACTATAGCCGTGCCTTCTTGACAGAGCAATTCCTTGTTGCTGACATAGTGCTTAAGATGATGATGATGTTACAGAACTTATTTTTAGCAGTTTTTTTAGTACACTAGTACCATGGCAATGACTCTCTGGAGTCATGGAGACACCAACCACGGAAGCATCCATGTAAACTGTTATTAATTGTGAGATGACTGTAAATTTGTGAACATATATGAATAATAATATAATGATGTCTCATGTTGTATTTGTTGGTATTACTGTAATAACTACCAAATGCATCAGAACAATGTGGAAGTATTTTTCACAATAAAGGAACATTTTTCAGATTATTACAAATGTTTTTATCACGGGCAGCGTTGCAGAGAATTTCTCATAATTGCGTGAAAACCAACATATTAAGCTTAACAACTAGTCTAGATTTAGGGCCACTTCATGGCTGCTGCGCCATAGGTTATGGTCTGATATGATTTTGTTACCATGGCTTCAAAGGTGTATTATGTCATAAAAAGGTGGAAACATTTAGGCACTGTTTGGATTATCGTTTTCCTTTTAAATACCCCTGTAAAAAATGCACGTCTCGTCCTGTTGGTTTGTTTCCGGCCGGAAATTGCTCAGTGTCCGGTAAGATGCACCTGTAAGTTAAATACATGCTATTACATTACACCGATGCCAAGCACGGCCTTAGGTACTTCTGAAAAGCCGTTGCAATGTCGGACGGAGCTTTACTTGTGACGAAATAACTATGTGTGTGTACTGGATCGACATGATTTAATAGAGAAAACCTGCCAAAGTGTCATTAATTTAATGAGAATATCCAAAGTACCCCTGTAGAGAGTGAAGTAAGTATTTATTTTGGTTGTATTGCTCCTATCCTTTCGCCGTTGTTGTTATCTGTAACCCCATGACATATATGTGTACAAATGATATGCAGCATAATCTGACTTATGAGCTCAATACATACCTTATATACGTCATATCATTATCCAGGTATGTTCCATCTTTTTTGCCGCCATCGTTTGGGAAAGAGCCGGACAAAAAGGTTAGCGCACTTTCATAGTTCTTATGATTGGCTCAGCGGTCAGTATGGTTCTTTGATTGAGCATTATCTTGACTTGCAGAAGGAAGATGAGCGGCCGAAGGAAAAGGAAAAAGGAAAGCCACGGGCAATAGATAAGTTCATGGAGGAACTCAAGTTTGAGCAAGAGCTTCGGGAAAGGCGTAATCAAGAACGTGACGGTTGACACGGTAACACCTCCGCGGTAGGTATTATATTATGTTAAAGTTGATCTTTTGGTTCTTTCCACTAGACATAATATCAAACTAATCCATAGGGCAGTTTTGATTATATTTAGCATGCTGAAGTATTCTTGTCAAATAGAATGTAGAAAACCAACCCTGCCAGTCAACATTGATAAACATTTTCTAAATAAGTTTCCAGCTAAATATGATAAATCTGTTGACTGGTTCTCCTAATTGTTTTCTCTCAGAATCTCTGCGGTTTGCCCTTGTATTTGCTGTACTGACGATTGAAGATTTTCCTGCAGTCCTCTAGCCATTTTGATGAACTACCAGATGAATTTGACCCCAGTGGGAGAATACCAGGATCATTTGATGATGGGGATCCACAAACCACAAACTTATATGTTGGCAATCTCTCTCCTCAGGTTGATTTTTCCCACCGTACATGTTCTGTCTAGACACAGTTTTAAGTGCATAGGCATCATAGTTAGCTTACCATGCATTATATACCATATGATGTTAGGTGGATGAGAATTTTCTTTTGAGGACATTTGGTCGGTTTGGACCTATCGCTAGCGTCAAGATTATGTGGCCTCGAACAGAAGAAGAACGCAGAAGGCAAAGAAATTGTGGGTTTGTTGCATTCATGAATAGAGCAGAAGGACAGGCAGCCAAGGATGAAATGCAAGGTTACTGTGCACTTCCATGTAGTTGGGATCATGTTATAGGACCTTAAAATAGTAACATTTCCGTACTTTTTAAAATTACTTATATTCCTGTTTTCAGTTTACTAAATTACTTAATGCAGGTGTTATTGTGTACGACTATGAGCTGAAGATTGGGTGGGGCAAATCTGTTGCTCTTCCATCACAAGCACTGCCTGCTCCTCCTCCAGGACATATGGCAATCAGAAACAAGGAGGTTGCTTCTTTCATTTCAAAAATTTCTATGTGCAGCTATCTCTTATATATTTTTTGGAAGTTTTAGGTAGATGACATGTCTTTGGTATTTTGAGTCGTACAACCTCCTTATTTTTCTTCGATATACAGGGTGGTACTGTAATCATATCTGGTCCTGGAGGTCCACCTGTTGCATCGGTTGCACAACAAACCTCAGAGCTGGTTGGTGATCTCTTACATATACATCTGTCCTTGTGTGGCATACTGTTCTTGATATCCATGCTATTTGTGTAACCATAAAAGTAAAATCATTAAAAAAATCCACGTTTTCTTTGAGATGGACCTTTTGAGGTATCATAACGCTGCTCGTTTGAGCTCCCTTTTCAGGAAATATCTAAGTGCTTGAGTTGTATAGGCCAAGAGAGTTCATAAGTTGCCCTGCTGCATACAATTTAACATGTACTCCCTCTGTCCCAAAATAACTGACTCAACTTTGTACTAAGTTTAGTACAAAGTTAGTACAAAGTTGAGTCACTTATTTTGGGACGGAGGGAGTAATATTTTTGCCATCTTTCTTAAGTTGGCACATAAATTCTTTAGCCCTTTCACATATGTTCACTATGTTATATGTTCTGGGTGGGCTCTCTTATTTCGGTTATGGATTGAATCCTTTTTCACCAGCACTCTTGTATGTGGTAGAAACTAGGGTTCTACCGGGTCTAGGCCGGAGGTTGTAGGGGAAGGAGGGAGCTGCTCGTGGGCAAACTCGCGGCCGGCGGCGGCTGGGCGCCGTCGTGTGCGAGGAGGCGACGGCTGAGAGGGAGATGGCGCAGGGAAGGAGGCGGCTAGGGTTAGGTCTCCCGGCTCCCTAAGGAAGCCGAGCAAATATGATTGCTTCTTTGCTTGATTAGATTGATACATCTCGTCTCCTTATATAGAGAGATTTACTTGACTCCCAAGCCCCTAATAACGATAATTGGGCTAAGCCCCTAATAACGATAAGATAGACCGGGCCACAACTAACTGGGCTAAGCCCCTAACATGCCGGTCATAACATTTCTCCCCGCTTGCACAAACAGCTCGTCCTCGAGCTGGAAGGCGGGAAAGCGCTTGCGGAACTCCTTGAGGTGATCAACCGTCGCCAAACACCTCCGCGGCAGATGGGGCGGGCAGGTCGCCGAGCCCGGCTGCAGCGGCGTCCTCCTCAATGTAGTCCGCAGTCTCCAGGTAGAAGAGTCGCAGACAGACGTGGCCGGGCGCGTAGGGCTCGTCGCAGTTGAAGCACAACCCTTGTCGGCGACGCTCGAGTTGCTCGGCCGGTGTGAGCCAGCAGAACGGGCGCCCCGCGGTCGCGGCGAGGGGTGCCGCGGAAGCCTGAGCAGGACGACCTGCCTGGAACGTCCGACCAGGGTGGCGGCCCAGCGGCCCGGGGCGGTGACGCCTGTTGGATGGCCACCGCGCGGCGCTCGAACGCGCGGGCATAGTACATGGCCTTCTGGAGGTCCTGGGGTCCCTGCAGCTCCACGTCCACGCGGATATGATCCGGCAGACCGCCGACGAAGAGCTCAGCCCGCTGGCGAGCCGTCACGCCGGGCGCGTGGCACGCCAGGGCCTGAAAGCGGTCTGTGAACTCCTGTACAATAGAGGTGAAGGGAAGACGGCCTAACTCCGCCAGCCGGCTCCCGCGTATCGGCGGCCCGAAGCAAAGGAGGCAAAGCTCGCGAAAACGCTCCCATGGAGGCATGCCGCCCTCGTCCTGCTCGAGAGCGTAAGACCGAGTCTGTGCGGCGCCTCGGAGGTGATATGAAGCGAGCCAAGTGCGGTCCGACGCGAGCGTACGTTGCCCCCGGAAGAACTGGTCACACTGATTAAGCCAGTTGAGGGGGTCCTCGGTGCCTTCGTAGGTGGCGAATGCAAGCTTGGCGAAGCGCGGCGCTGTTTGGGTATGACCGCCGTGGGGGTACGGCTCAGCGGTGCCGAGCAGCGGCGCTGGGTCGGTGATCACAGGGGCCCCCCGTGGAACTGCGTTGCGTCGAGGCCAACGTAGGGACCCGCGGAACTGGAGGACCCGCCGTACTGCGCCTGCTGTGACGGCACGTGCGGCGGCCCCGAGGCCATCGTGTAGACCGGCTGAGACGACGATTCGGTCAACCAAGCCGGTAGCGGGGACGGCGAGGACGGGAACCGGACTTGGTGGAGCGGAACTCCCGCCGGTGCGGTCGATGCGGGGCTGGAGCTGACCGGCGGTGGCTGCTGCGGCGGAGCGTCGGGCGTGGCGGAGGCCGCCAGGAGCGGCGGCTGCCACTGCAGCCAGGGCTGGGCGGTGGTGGCGAGGGATGGCAGCTGCAGCGGCTGCTGCAGTGGCCCGACGAGCGCGGCGAAGGCCGCCTGGTGCGGCGGCTGCCATGGCAGCCACGGCGGCGCGGAGGCGGCGATGGGCGCTGGAGGCGCGTCGGAAACCGGC